GACATGTGAAATTCGCCAATACGCATTGGGGCAGCACGGCGGATACTTCCTTGCCCTAAAACCCTCTCAGAAATGAGGGGAGGCCTGTGCCCAGCAGTGAAACATATATAAGCTGTAACTTTTTTTGTATTAAGGAAATTGTAACGCCATCGTATTTTAAAGTGTAATAGTAACACATTTACATGTTGAAAAAAAAATGGTTGAATAAATATGCTGGTAATAGACTAATCATAGATGAATACTGTTGAAAACTGTTCTGCATCGTTAACGTCGATGCATGCAATGTTATTTTATAAGAAGTCAGCCATTGTATGACATAACGTTAGTATTTCGTTCGATATACCAATGTAAGTTGTAATACTTATGAAGTTTTTGTGGTGAGATAAAGTATTATTCGTTTTATATCTTATTTGCATTTCGTCAGCTAGAACATATCTTTAGCGAACTTAACAAAAAAATGATCTATATGCTTCTTTCTTTGCCCTTAAATCACAAACCTTGATCGTAGTTTGTGCTCAACGGATATATGTATAATATAATAATACAAATATATAATATATCTAATAATTAAATATAATAATATCTAATAATAATACCTTAATTGCATCCTTAAGATTAAGTACCTCTATATGATAATTAATTAAAATAAAACTAAGCTTATAGTGGATATGATTTGAATTTTGATAGATTTTAATTAATTCAAAATTAAATTAATTCAAAATTATGGTTTTATTTTTTGTAAAATTACAGTGCCATAGACTTCTACACCGTTAACATGTTAAACCTTATTTTTTTCCAGACTGGAAAAAAGGTCATCCAGTATATTATACAATATGTTACTGCGGTATATATAGAAGAGCTCCGAACTACCACACAGAGCGATAACCGCTTCCCGGGCCGGTGGAAGTTCTCCTCTTTTCCTTTCACGGCTAAAGATCTATCTCTGTGGGTGTATTACATAAGTTAACTTTGCCGTCTCGCATATCTCGAAAAGATATGATGGTATCATCACAAGCCATTCTAATCCTGATTCAGTTAAAATCTTTTCTGTAGGTTTCTATATACAATAAAAATATATACACACACATATATGTACATACATACATATATATTATATGAATCGCCACTGGTCATGGCATTATACAAGTGGCATAAAAGAGAATTCGCTTCGGAAGCCATGGGTTCTTTCCTATATTAACCATAACTGATTTTTGACACTCTGGAGATGCAAATAGGTTTTGTGGTTGTGAAGCCATAATAAGGTTTTCAGTAAGTTGTAATATATCTGTATATTGTCACTAATTACCACCATCATGATCATCATGTAATATTAAGTTGTACTGGCAATTATTTGAATACGACATATAATTTAGCATCATTTACTAAATTTACTTAATATTGTTTGTATGGCATGGCATGTATTGACGGCGTAAAAAGCCCTATGTAATCCCGTGGGTGACATAAGACGTGAAAAAGAGAAACTGAAAAAGGAAATGGGTAACAGCATCTTTTAGATAACTGCTCAAAATAATAAAAAATTGCGTTTGTCAACCTGACATCTATGGCAAATATTCCTATTTAAGAGACAATCTATGGGAAGGCGTATGTGGACATTTCGTAGTCCGTTATGAATGAATGTAAAACTCAATATTATTTCTTTTATTCAGTAAGCTTGCTATAGCCCACCACCCCCCACACTCTGACATATAAATTCACAGTAAAGTTTCACTCACTACATTCAATATACGGATCTCGAACGAGTGTTACATTTATTTTATCTTTTAAATCTTTTCAAATCGATTTTTGTATCGATATTTCAATTTAATAGAGACAGTGTTTTGTAAAAAACTTAAGAATGGCATTAAAGGTGAGCTATTTCTCAATTAAATCTAATAGTGTTGGTTATCTTCTTATCAATAGAATATAAAGTAGCCAAGAAATTGATTTCAATTTAGTAGTAACAAAATTTAAAATAATTATTTTTAAAGTGCTGTTAGTTTAAATTTTTGTTAAGCGTATAGTTAGAGTAATTGACTAATGAGATGTGGGGACTGGGTTCGATTCTAACTTAAAGTTAAGTGTTGAGTGCATGTATATATATATATATATATATATATATATATATATATATATATGCATACATGTTTGTCGGTTAAGGGTACTCCTAACCTGGTCCATTTTCAAGGCATCCCAGGAAGGGATGCCCCAAACGAAGGCTTATCACTCACATCTGCAATATAAATTTGCTTTGTCTCTCTTTCCTCGTTCATTTTTTCTACACGAAACATTCTTTTATAAATTCTGGTCACATCATCTTGCGAACCACATTTTTCTCTTATCACACAATTTATCAACCTGTCATTCATAATCATCACTAAAATACTCCTTAATGAACGCATTTTTACAGATTTAATTCTACACTCTTATTTCTTCTGCTACACTTAGCTTTCATTACCATACCATACCATAATCTCTTGGTAGTTGTTTAACCCTTTTCCGTGTACTACATATAGTTCATTGCTATTGTCTTACTATTGTATCTGAAAATCACGACAATAAAAGTGTTAAGTTCCCTGCATAATAAAAGCGCACAGCACGCTTACTGCTACTCCATCACCAGCCCATAATATTTATAATGATACTTTACCATACCCAGCTGCCTTACTGTTCTCATGCTTTTAATGTTTTTTTTTTAATATTATTTCATCCATATTTTTCTCACTGGTTCCTTTCTTTGGATACCGAAGGAATCTATCACTCCTGGGTGTCTTAAGTGTCTCTTAAAGAAGAAATGAAGTCGTTTAAAAGTAAACGAAATAACTTCTTGATAAACCTTTATCAATCAGAAAATCTATTAATCCCTTACACAGTTGAAATCTTATCTCTAATTTATCTAATTTCTAAAGCGTGTGAAATCGGTGATGTTTCTTAAAGGCTGGGCAGGTTGGGTGACGGTGGTAGAGATACCTTCGCACTCCATTCATATCATCATAATGTGGTCATGGACCATGTGGTCGTAGACTACGAATTTACTTACAGTTAGATAAAATTTAATATTTAAAAAATCATTAGTATATTCATGTTTTATATAGGTTTTTCCGTGCCTTATGGCATTTCTTAGGGTGGAAACCTGTAATGATGAAGAGGATAATGGGAGTTTTCGTAACTCTTTGTGGCACGATAAAAACCTACGGCCTAATTGGCGTAACATGGAAGTAAAAGTGTTCGTGGGAACTTATTTGTAAATATTCTTTGTTTCGTTGAAGACGAGTAGTTTCCGATGTTACGAACATCGTGATCAGCCAAATTACGTGATCATACGAGAATTACGTAAGCAGATGTTGTAGTAATAACGTTTCCAGATTTTTTACCATAGCATGACTTCTTTTCTGCCTAAGAGTTCGTCTAAGATGGTACCCTGTTACCTATTTTTGCCGCTAAATAGCAGTGCTTGCATTGTTGTGTTAAGGTGTTAGGTTAGGTGAATAGAGGGTCAGTAATTTTTTTTGTGAGGCATTTAATTTTAATCTGAGAGGTTACAATGCATACAGCCTTCTTTATTTAAAGTTGTTTGCAGGAGTCCACGGGCTGCAGTAGTCACATACCATCAGCTGGACCGTAATTTCGCTTGTCACTTCAATAAAAAAAAAAAACTTGCTGTCCCATTATAAAATTACTTGGTTTGAAATATTTAATACAAATTTCATAAGACAATTAATAAAACATTCTTGAGAGTTAAGCGAAGCGCTCCTTTCTTTATCGTGAAATACGTGAAATTGACTTCTCGAATTCGGTCTCTAAAATTAATTTCACGCCATTTACCGTTATTTCATCTTCAAGTAGGTTTATTATTTCCCCTCCTACTAGTAGTACTGTTTTGTTTATTCCTAAAGCGTATAAGTAATTAGACTTTAAAGAATTTTTTCACGACAATTTTTTGCTACTTATTCATGACGATTTTACTGTCGAACTTTATAATCGTTTCTTGATATGTATATGGAGGATATGTATATGGAGAAATTGTAGTGTTGGTTTCTACTAAGATGCCATCTAATATATAATATAAAAAGAGGGTGAAGACCTTTGACCTAATTGCATTTATTGTAATTGTAAATACCTGTTGATCGGCATAAAGAAGCGTCATAGTTTTAGTTTCACACGTCATTAGTTTTCAAAGTAGTTTTAGTTATTATATCGATTAATTTTTGAGCTTCACGTTTGCGATTCAAAAAATTAATCTAAGATAAAACATTATGACGGATGACAAATAGAAACCGAGGCGATGCCAAAAGTGTATTGTGGTGCATGACGCATTAGGAGTAAATTTAAATGATGAATTTGACTATGTGGGTGAATTAATCTAATAGGTAACGGTGCTTAAATCATAGAAACCATGCATTGGGCCTCAAATATGTTGCGATTTTTTCTTCTACATGCTTTGGTCATAACATACACTATATTAATTATGCTATGGAAAAGTGGCGATATAAGGTTGAAGCCGTTTATTTTAAGTTATTTATAGAAAATAAAAATAAAATATCTATATACTAATGAAGAAAAAAGTTTTTAAGTACATATTACTTCAATATTTGTACCCCTTTTATTTTGCACCCGCAGGAATGTGACATTTGGCTTACTTCAAGTTAATATGGAGGAGGAGTGCATAAAGTTAAAAGATTACAATATGTGTTACAACTACATGTCACAATTACGCTAGTAATATATAAGTCAATGGTTACAATACATTCGATAAAGTAAGATAAAACATTAATCATTTGCCTTCATTCTGCCAATGTAAACCGTCAAACATATAGCAGTCTATAATCAAACAATTGCAAAAAGAGTAGGGATTGTCTCCTAAGACATTTTAAAATGTAGCCAAAAAAATAATTACTCCTAGCATTTTGAAGAAGGATTATGTGCATAGACTTAGGTGCCAGTATATTCTAAGTCTATAATTCTGTGTAATTTCCATAGATTTAGAATATACTGGCTTAGTAATGTTTAATGTTACTTCTTCAATAGTCTGTGAACTACGATGTACGTCACAAATAGTCCACGAACTGTTGAAGAAGGATTGTTTGTATGTCAAGGTAAAAAACCGTTTATTTTATTTTTTGTGTATTAGAGATATGTGTTCTATATGCCAACAACGACATACGGAACAGAGACGTGGTCTTTCACTGCTGGCCGTGTGAGGACGCTCAAAGTCACTCAGCGAGCTATGGAGAGGGCTATGCTCGGGGTTTCACTGCGTGATAAACTTAGAAATCAGGATATCCGCAGTAGAACCAGAGTGACCGACATAGCCGGACATAACGGATTAGTAAGCTGAAGTGGCAATGGGCCGGCCATATAGCTCGAAGAACCGACGACCGTTGTGGAAAAAAGGTTCTAGAGTGGCAGCCTCGTACCGGTAGGCAAAGTGTAGGGCGACCCCTCACTAGATGGAGTGACGACCTGGTAAGACATCCAGGAAGTCGATGGATGCAGGTGGCTCAGGACCGTGATTTGTGGCATTCCTTTGGGGAGGACTATGTTCAGCAGTGGACTTGTGAAGATCTGTAATGACGATGATGATGATGATGATGATGATATATGTGTTTTATGTATTAACGTGCAGTTAAAAGCAAAGATAATACCCTAGATAATTATTTAATTTTATAATTTGAAATAAAGCTTTCTTAGTATACAAACTTATATATATACCCATTGGAGGCAAATCTCGGCCATGGTTTAGTCGCTCCTGTAAAATAGCATCATGCTATAAGCAGGAGTGCTACCAAGCCTGGGCTGACGCTTCAGCGTCCCGGGATGTAAACACCAGCGCTATAAAAAAGAAGTATTAATTCCTCCTCTAGGTCCTTCAAAAGAGTCATTGCCAAGGCAAAGTCAGAGCACATAGGCAGAATTGGCGAGAAACTAGTTCGCCTTCCTTCTGGAACCCGTGCATTCTGGTCTCTCGCCAAGGCTGTCCAGTGGAATTTCTGTCAACCATCTCTTCTATCTCTGCACAGGGAGCACGACTCACTGGCCCATACCGCAAAGGAGAAAGCCGATCTTCTAGGCTCTTTCGTTACGTCCAACTCGACTCTCGATGAAGGGGGGAGTACGCCGCTGACCACCCCTCGGTGTGAGTGCTCCATGCCGGAAGTGCAGTTCACACAGCGCTCGGTTCGCAAAGCACTCCTCTCCCTGGACATCCACAAGTCGAGTGGGCCTGACGGAATCCCCCCAATTGTGCTGAGGACGTGTGCTCCAGAGTTGGCACCGGTTTTAACGAGTCTTTTCCGGTACTCCTACTCCCTAGGCGTAGTCCCAAAATCATGGAAGACGGCTTTCGTCCACCCGATCCCTAAAAAACGGCTCAGACCCGTCCAACTACCGGCCTATCGCCATCACCTCCTTGTTCTCCAAAACAATGGAGTCCATTGTTAACTGCCAGCTCATGAGGTACCTTGAGGATCACCAGCTGATTAGTGACCGCCAATACGGTTTTCGCCGTGGTCGGTCAGCTGGTGATCTTCTGGTCTACCTAACTCACAGATGGGCGGAGGCAGTAGAGTCCAAGGGGGAGGCATTGGCAGTTAGTTTGGACATTGCGAAGGCCTTCGATCGGGTTTGGCACAAAGCGCTTCTTACGAAGCTCCCTTCCTATGGGCTTCATGAGAAATTGTGCGATTGGATCACCAGCTTTCTCGCAGATCGGAGCATCAAGGTCGTTGTAGACGGTGCAAGCTCCGATTGCAAGCCTATTACTGCTGGTGTTCCACAAGGCTGCGTGCTATTGCCAACGCTGTTTCTTCTGCATATCAATGATATGTTGCAAACCCGTAACATTCATTGCTATGCAGATGACAGCACTGGTGATGCTTTTGCACCGGCCGAGTCAATATTTCTCGGGAAAACTTCTCTGAGTGCCGGGACAAACTTGTGTCTGAAGTCGAGTCTTTGCTGAACAGAGTCTCGGATTGGAGGCGACTAAATCTAGTCCAGTTTAACCCCCAGAAGACACAAGTTTGCGCGTTAACCGCTAAAAAGAACCCCTTTGTCGTATCTCCTCAGTTTCAAGGCACTCCCCTTGTTGCCTCAGCCAGTATCGGAATCCTCGGCGTTGACATATCGAGTGACGTGCAGTTTCGTGGTCACTTGGAAAAGAAGGCCAAATTGGCCTCTAGAAAGCTTGGCGTGCTCAGCAGAGCGGGACAGTATTTCATGCCGGCACACCGCCTGCAACTTTACAAGGCGCAGGTTCGGCCGCACATGGAATACTGTTCCCATCTCTGGGCTGGGGCTCCCCAGTACCAGCTCCTTCCACTTGACCGCATCCAGCGCAGAGCGGCTCGAATCGTCAACGACCGAGTGCTTTCCGATCGGCTCGATTCACTGGCACTGCGAAGAGATGTTGCATCTCTTTGCATTTTTTCGCATATATACCATGGAGAGTGCTCTGAGGAATTGTGCGGATTAATCCGAGCCGCCAAATTTCGTGAACGCACTACGCAGCAAACGTCCCGATACCATCCACATCACTATGCTTGGCTGTCCACCACAGTACGTTTCAAAAGGAGTTTTCTTCCGCGTACAACCTCTCTGTGGAATAGTTTACCACCGGCGAATTTTCCGGACCGATACGACCTGGGGACCTTCAAGAAAAGAGCTTACTCCTTTCTAAAGGGCCGGCAACGCACCTGCAATTCCCCTGGTGTTGCGGTTGATCATGGGCGGCGGTAGTCACTTAACATCAGGTGAGCCGCATGCTCGTTTGCCCCCTCTTATAAAAAAGAAGGGACACGCAACCACGCGATAAAATCCGTAAAAGTAGTTTTAATCAATGTATAGTGTTCGCGTAAATATAAGAAATCATTACTATTTTAAATTAAATATACTATTTCAGGTAGCAGTGGTTGTCTTAACGGTTGCTACTTGCGCATATGGACGACTATATATGTATCTCCATCCAGTAGACTTTCAAGTCGAGCAAGCGCAGAGCCTAGTTGACTCGCAACATAGCATCGATCAACATCATATATCTGAAGATGAACACGTCGATTACTACGTAAGTTTCCAATAGATTTCACGTCGTATAAAATCTTTAGTTATTTAATATAGTAAAAATATTTTCTTTTAAATGAACTCGATGCTAGATTAAAATATACTCATATACATATATGTAACTTAAGGAATAAGGATGCTCGTAGCATTTAATCATTAAAAGCTACAGCAAATATATATATGCTCATACGACCAGTACTAAGACCACATTTTGAATTCCCGTCAGCTATCAATGTTGGTATAGGTTAGATATGTAATAGGGTGTAATTACGAATCTAAAAACGCAGTAATCATGCAAGAGATAATTCTATGCATCCAACTGTAGTTTCTGTTGTAGCTATCTCTTTAATTGCTCTGAACAATGGGTTCATTCATTCCTACCGACACTCAGCGTCTCATACCTACAAGGTGCAAGTAAAAGACACTCTTTTTATCTCTTTGTGACGAAAGGGTTTCTCATAAACGAAATTGCTCTTCCTGTGAAATATTCCGTTTGTGGTAATTGTTGGTTCAAATTATTGTTTAGCGCAAAATATAAGCGAAAGCGAGACAAGATTTTTAGACATTTGTTAAACAATTTTAAATGTTTCCATGAACATTTTTTTACATGAGTAAGAGCTGCATTTAAAGAAATAAAAAGGATAAAATAATTTCTATATAAAAAAAATATATACAGTCGGAAATAGGATTCAGTTCTTCTATGTCGGTGTTTACGTATTACTAAAAGTTTATTTTTTTTTAGTCTTTTTAGTGGATTAAGCAATATCACTACTACCTCAAGCCTCAAGGCAAGAAATGAAATGTTGCCTAAAAAAATCATACTTACCTTTTTTACTCTAGGGAGTGATAACTTTTCCCCAAATTTAAATGGGAACACCTCAGAATTATATACTTTTTAATAAAAAAGGAATCCTTAAAATCGTCAACAACTAAATAATATATTGCGTATGATACATACTAAAAGAGCTCATATAGTTGAATTAAGAACCTCCTTCTTCTGTTCAAGATAGCGAGAGACACCCTAAAAACATCTTTACAGACAAAGAAAGACTATGTATAGAAATGAAACAAAGCTTAAAATTCAGCCAATTAAATTGTAAATTAATTAAGTTTATCACAATGTTAAAAGAAACGCAGGAAAAAAATATTTCTTTAAGCTTATTCTACGTCAACTACCATTTGTCTCTGACGTTCCATTTTATACACTGCTACTTTACTTCATTCAACTCTGTTTCTGAGTTTTATACGTTAGGTATGTATGTAAGTATGTACCGTAGGCCAAAGAAATGTATTTGGTTGATAAGTGATCACTTTTGGCAATACAAGAACTAAGTTAGACTTTTTAAATATATAGAAACTATCCATCTTTTTTTCTAAAAATGTAGTTAGTAAGTACTTATGTGCACTGGAGTAACAGCAGGTAGTGCTCGACACTCGATTTGTAGTGGCAATGATCGAGAGTAAGCAATTGTTTTGTTTGAGACTATAGCTAGTTAAGTATTTCTATCTAAACTTCCAGCGCTGATAATAAGTTCTAGCACATTTATTTCATCATTACCTATTTGGTAACGGCAAAACCTAACCTAAAAAGTAACATTAATATTTTTTGGGCTTCGTAGCGTTTGAATAGTTATATAACAATATTTTCTAAACTTACAGGTAGTTTTTCCACTATACCTTATAACTATACATAAACTTTCACTATCAGGTTTATAATGTATATAAAGTGGGCATGATTCTTTCTGTTTCCATTTATTTTGTGAAACCTTATCAATTGTTTTGTTTTGATAAAGCATGATTTGTTTTTTTTTTGCGTTGCCAGTGTTATACTCGTGTTTAATTTTTTTTCTGTTCTTATACATTGTAAACAATGAATAAGTAATTCATCCATCTCTGTTTTCACACACTTGTTAGGTATGTCAACTAACATTTCCGCGTTAAAACCTTAGGTAATATAACTTAGGTAACATTTTTACCGCTCTCCGTTATGTACTTGATAACAGCGTGTTAAAGGAAATGCCGTTGCATAAGCGCACGGAAGTTCTATATCTTTTCATATTGGAAGTTGCCCGATAGGTTTGTAAAGAAGTTTGTTTGCAAGTATTTTATTAATGCTCCCTTTTTACGATTTCGGAGATTATTATATTGAAATTACAAACATATTTAATTTTAAATTTTAGTTCGTTAGTCATTGTGTTTGGTGAGTTATTTATAACTCCTATACGTCCCAATGCAGGGTATACAGGCCTCCTCATTTTTCCATCAGTGTTACCAGATTTAACGTCTTATCAAAATATTATAATCTGCCCATGATATGCCTATGGTTTCCTCACGATGTTTAAAACTAAAAAAATATCATTTAAATATGCAATTCACATTCAAAAATTCAATATTCAGACATTTTTGGTGAGCCTTTAATTCTGAGTAATTTGATAAGTGCTTAAATAAGCTGTCATCTGCTCTAGCTTACCTTTGTTTTGATCCTTTTGTAAAACAAGCAATTGTACAAAAACATATTCTGGTTTTAAGATTTGAAAGTGCGATAGTTTTCTTCTTGTTCTTCCTACTTGCGAGCTCTTTACTCCCGATACTGTTTCGTCGGATATGGATAGGAGTGTGAGTAAATGCTTCTTGTATTTGTTCGTACAGTTGTGGTTTAGAAACTTAAGTTAACACTTTGCTCGAATTCGCCTGGAAAACATGACATAAACCAGATCTTAAGCTTTAACTTAGTATCTGTAATAAAATAACTTTTACGATTTCTGATCAGACCTGGATGTAGAGTTGTGGCTAAAATTTCACTAAAATTTTGAGAAATATATCACCGCATATTTATTTTAAAAATACCTTATGACAGAATATTTTCTTAAGAGTTTTTTCTTGAGACTAAGTCCAACTGTGAAATTTTACAGGCTGTATATGAGAATAAAAAAGCATTTTTTTGGTAACTTACATTACAGTTATGGCTGCATTATAATATAGAATATCTGTAGGTTTGTGTTGCGCTTGTCACTCTTACTTGTATAAAAAAAATCATTATAATCATATATAAATTAAACATAAAGATGATTTTGTTCTTTGACAATGCTTACATAATATTTTTATTGCAGGCGTATCCGAAGTATTCATTTAATTATGGTGTGAATGATTTTCACACCGGTGACATCAAGACACATCATGAAACCCGCGACGGCGACGTTGTAAAAGGTAATGGGATGTCGAGTTAAGAAATAACATTTTAGTCAAGTAATCATCTTTCTCAAACACCGAGCTTAAGGGTAGGTGTTTTACCCGGTGCTTCAACAGAAAGATGATGGGCAATAACTTTGTGTACCAATGCAAGAGTATCAGCGCATTATCGCCTTGCCCGCTGTTGTGATATTTGTTTTGTGATGTTTGTGCTGGGCTTTTACAAATTCATTTGACATATAGCTATTACAAGGCCGCGAGTTGTCTAGCATTGTGAGTACGGGGAAATCGTTCATGAATCTCTCATCTAGTAAAAAAGGGAAGTAACAGCCTTTATACGTCCCACTGCTGCGCACAAATACCTATTAAAAAGCAAACAAATTGTTTAATCATTTACGCTTAGAAAAAGTACGAAAAAAATTATTTTGTAGTGTGGAAAGCTTCAGAACAGTGATGCAAACCCATCACATACTTAGGTACTGCTCCTACCTAAACTTTGTATTTTTGTGACATTGATGACAAAAAATTCGAGTTTCATTTCTCATCCTGTTTTTCCTTTTCAACTATTCTTATTGAATCAGGCACGCATGACTTTGTTGCCGTGGTCGGGGTTCCAATCAGTTTGGTCGGAGACGAGGCATTCATAATCATCATCATTCATCATTACAGCCCTTCAAAAGTCCACTGCTAAACATAGACCTCCCCCAGGAATGCCACAAAGCACGGTCCTGAGCCACCTGCATCCATCGACTTGCTGCATGTATTACCAGGTTGTCACTCTATCTAGTGGGGGTCACCCTACACTTCGCCTAACGGTACGAGGCTGCCACTCGAGAACCTTTTTTCCCCATCGGTTATCGGTTCTTTGAGCTATATGTCCGGCCCATTGCCACTTTAGCCTACTAATCCATTAGGCTATTTCGTTCACTCTGGTTCTAATGCGGATATCCTCGTATATGAGTTTATCATGCAAAGAAACCCCAAGCATAGCTCTCTCCATAGCTCGCTGAGAAACTTGAGCGTTCTCATACGGCCAGCAGTGAAGGACACGTCTCAGTTCCATAGGTCATCACTGGCAACACGCACTGGTTGTACAGTCTCGTTTTCAGGTTTTGCGGTATCGCTGACAAGAAGGTATGTCGTAATTTCCCGAACGCTGCCCAGCCGAGTTGAATCCATCGATCGACCTCTCGGCCGAAGTTGGACTTACCTAGTTGGACTATTAGTCTTAAATAAACATACTAGTCAACAACTTCAAACTTAATGCTCCCAACAACTACCGGCATAGGTATGACATTACCGGCTTAGGTCCTCCAGCGATTCTGCCATAAGGACTATATCGTCGGCAAATTGAAGGCGAGTGATGTACTCGCCATTGATGTAAATATCTTGAAAATAAGCTTGAAAACGTCTTCCAATACATTGGTGAAGAGTTTCGGGGATATGACGTCACGCTTTCTTACAACTCTCTGCAGTTGCATAGGTTTTGAACTCTGGTTCTGTACTCGGATAGTCATCGTAGCCCTACTGTACAAATACGTCAGCACTTCAATATACCGACAGTCAACTTGGCACTGCTGAAGAGACTCTAGCACCGCCCAAATTTTGACGGAATCAAAGGCTTTCTCATAGTCCACATACGTAAGGCAAAGTGGCAGATGGGACTCTTCAGTCTTCTGTACAATTTACCCAAGGGTATGTATGTAGTCTATGATGCCAAAGCCTTTTCGGCAATCGGCTTGTCCGGGAGACTCGAGTCTGCGTGCGAGATGATTGTTAATGGCACAGAAGGGAAATCGGTACGTAATTCTTCAAGAAAGCATAGTCGTATTTATTGAACAACAAGACCACCGCACTTCTGCTCCACGCTTCCGGAGTAGTGCCACCAAGGAGGATGGAAATAAAAATATTCTGAAGGACTTCAAGCACTGGTTTTCCATCCGCTTTAAGAAGCTCCGTGGTAATTTTAACTTCAGCTTGTGCCTTGTCGTTTTTAAGGTGATGGATTCTTTATTCCAATCTCGCTCAGACTGACGTCCGGTTTGTCACTGGTCCGGTGTAGCACTGCCCAAATTTTAATGAAATCGCTTTCTCATAGTCCACATACGCCAAGCAAAGTGGCAGATTGTAAGCATTTTCAAGAATCAAATAGTTCTAAACTACGTACCTCATGAAAGATTTAGCTTGACCTGTTGCCGAAAGTCTGTATAACTTTAATGCATTATTAACACCCACACGTTTATAGGAAGCATCATCATTTGTCTCTGCAGTCATATAACGATTCTATACTTACCAAAATTCTGGTTAAGTCTCTCAACTTTCCCCATATACTTATTATATAACTGATAACAATGTGGTTGATCAACGATCACTCGTTTGTTTTTGCGCAGACTACTCCTTCCCCAACTGGCTGAACACCGCTTTCTGTTGAGGCAATAGTAACGATGTTGATGTTGTAGCGCACTAAAGCAGTTTTGGATGAAATATTCGTGACTTGATGGTAGGAACCTCTTGTGGTCTTTTTTATTCCCTTCTGATTTCTAGCGGTGCAACTTCAACTCTATTAGCTCGGAGCATTCCAGTGATATGACTCACCGCCTGACTTAATTCATTAAGTAATCGAAAAATGTAAAGAAATTATCAATATAAAAGCTATAATGATCATCAGACAGCTTAGAAATCAAGTCAGTCGCTTCAGAACAATCTACGCAGAGTTTTGGTTTTGTATTTCCAGTTTTAGGTCCTTGGTAAGGTTCACTATATATAAAAGAAAAGAATTGCTTTGTCATGTATGTGCTGCTAAGTTCCATATTTCTTAAGTAAGGTACCATCGAGTCATTAACAGATAAATGTTTATCTCCTGGAAAATATTTCAGCCATCTTTTATTCATCATATCGTTCAGAGCTCTTACTATTGTATATTTGATTTAAAAAATATTTAACCTTACTTATTAAATAAACAAATAGTTTGTGCCATAATATAAGTGCACCTTAAATGGGGTGCTGGTAAAATATGAGTTAATCTACATCTATATGATTTAAGATGTTTGTGTTGCGTATAGGAAGCCATAAGTTATTGCTGCCATTACATAATATATATAACTAATTTACTACAATTATGGGAATAGGATGTGATGGATTCTCTTATTTGACACATTAGTTTTTGATATACTCGTATATAATTGGCAGGTTACTATTTCTATCTATTATTATTATATTATTCAGTCTGTCTATTATTTTGCCATAAATATAGGATTTGTCGTTAATAAATCGTTTGAAATCGTCCCAGATACAGCAGCTAAAACAAAGTCTTTTTGTGTATCTGAAAAAGAAAAGAAGATCAGTGTGATTGTCCAAAGAGTTTATGTGATTGAAGGATGCGTCATTATAGCAAAGATGAGACGATGCTTTCATAATCATCATCATTACAGCTCTTCGCAGGTCAACTGCTGAACAATTGTAGGCCTTGGAATGTCTCAAAACAAGGTTGCCGAGTTACCTGCATCCATCAAATTCTTGCATGCGTTACCAGGCCTTCACTCCGTCTACTATGCTTTAGTTATTACTAAATTTTTCTTTTATAGGTCAATACACTGTGGTGGAACCGGACGGCTCAATTAGGACTGTGGATTACACTGCTGACAAGCACAACGGTTTCAATGCAGTGGTTCACAAAACTGCTCCTATAACACCTCAAGAAGCTCACATTAAATTTTCTGAACATTAGGTATATTTACACATTCAAAAAGCATTTATTGAATTTACAATATTTGAAAACTATATATTATGATGTTCTATTGGTACATTAAATTAAGACGGTATACAAAAATAGATACAAATCCGTATTATAAAATTTTATATTTGTTGTGTTTGTTGTGGATGTTATATTGTTTTATTTTGTTGAAATTGTCAACCAAACCTTTATATAATTTATTTTTAAGCACAAATGTTTAGATATATTTTCTATTTTAAGTAACTCAAGGTTAAGAAAATTTGTTATTAATTTAGTAAAAGTTTTAGAGATCATGTTTCTATTGGTTAGTCCATTTTGCCGATCTCCTTTATTTATTATAATGTTATTATTTTCACGTGGTACCTGAGCTATTTCCTAACGAGTTTATTATGTATTGACTTGGATGTTAATTTGTTATATAATTGTAGTTGTAAGTTCATTGTTTTAAACTTTTATAACGTGTCAATAAAATTGGTATAAGTATTGCACGAAATTTTCATTAAAACCTTGGCCTTCGAAATCATTTTCAATTTAATACTGATGAATTGTTTAGAGAGGGCATTGAATACAGGAAAACTCTTTCCTTTATTCAATACCCTCTCAGGAAGCCTTTTTCCGTTGACAATTCGGTGGGCAAGGTCGATGAATAGGCCAAAGAGGGCAAATTACCTTACGCTCAACAGATGTCGCTAGTTGACATTGACGTGATGACTTTTGTTACACAATGTCATTTAATAAATAATTTACCTAGTTTTTATTAAAAATTTACCAGTTTATAGACTATTATATTGATACTGATTAATATCTGTGGTTTGGTTTATTTATTTTTAATCTAATTAATATAAAATGTAACTAATAGTACAGTGCCACCAACTTATCTGTTCAGGTGGACAAAATTGGAACTAAGGCCGCCATTTTGTAAATGACATTTCGCTGTCAGTTATTATTTATTCTGAGCTATCAGGTGAGTGTTTTTAAAAAGTGCAAATAAAATGCTTAAAGCTCTTAAAAGTGATGCGCGACAGATTATCCTAAAAGTTTTATCTTTTATGAAAGAAGAGAAACGTGTACAAGCCCCAATTATACCATTTGAAAAGCTGTATGAACGCGTTACTGCCGCGACAGGTTAGTATTGCCAGATATGGAAAATTAAAATCACCTAATAATGTACTTGTGAAACATAGTAAAAAAAATTCTCAATTTACTGTAATTCGTCTAAATTACCTAGCTTTGTAATTTGTGGTCTGTGAAGTAGCTATAGTGACGGCATATACACGGGCTTATATTTATTTAATTTTACCTATACAATAATTATTTGTCGTTTCGTTACAGGTGTTTCTGAGCGATTTGTACACAAACTCGTAAATGAAGAGAAACACGCTGAAGAATCAAATTCTAAAATTTCTACCCCTGGCAAAAAAAGGCAAAGAAAAACCGGGAAACAAGAAGTTGATAATTTCGACATTGGTGTTATAAGAAGAAAAATTCACGAATTTTATTCAGTGAAAAAAGAAATTCCTACCATACCCAAATTACTGAGTATTTTAAAAGAAGATATTGATATTAAAAACAGAACGTGAAACTCTTCGAAAATTGCTTCACAAAATAGGATTTCGTTATAAGAAAACAAAATCAAATAGAAAAGTGTTGTATGAACGTAACGACGTAGTTGCATGGAGAGCAACCTACCTACAAAAAATTAAAGAAAATGAGTGTGGTGAAAAAAGGCCTATTATTTATTTAGACGAAACTTACATACATTCGTCTCACTCAACTGGGAAATGTTGGCAAGGTCCTGAAGAGGATTGCGATTTGGAACCTGTTTCGAAAGGTAATAGGTGGATCATAATCCATGCAGGTGGAGAAAAAGGTTTTGTGGAAAATGCACTTCTCGTATTTAAATCAAATACAAAGTATGGGGACTACCATAATGAAATGAATAGAACTAATTTCAAAAAATGGGTATATGAAAAATTACTACCTAATCTGCATGAACCTTCTCTCATTGTGATGGATAATGCGCCATACCATAGTATTTGCGTAAATAGGTGTCCTAATTCAAACCACAGTAAGGCTGATATGCAGAAGTGGCTTGTAGAAAACAATGTGGATTTCAATGAACAAATGACAAAACCACAGCTTTACGAGTTAATAAAGAAAAATAAACCTGCTCCGGAATATGAAATTGATAACCTGATGAAAAGTTATGGCCATGTTATTCTTAGATTGCCGCCTTATCATTGCGACTTGAACGCAATTGAAATGATATGGAGCTCTATGAAAAGGAACATAGCAGACAAAAATGTTGGAAAATCTAATGTTCTAATGCCCCAATTAATTGAAGATGCATTCAATAAAATTACACCGGTGCAGTGGAAAAACATTTGTAATCATGTGAAAAAAATTGAAAATGCATACAGACTAAAAGACGCGTATTTAGATGAACCCTTTATTATAGAGTGTCAGAGCGATAGCGAAAGCGATTCCAGTGACTCAGAAGATGAATTATTGGAATCAGTAGCTAACGCGGGTACGTCTTTCAAAACAGAAATTCCTGGAGTTCGGCCGCTTGGACTCCGAGACCATGACCACAATTATTTTTATAAAATATAAATAATATATATAATAACACTAATTCTCACTAATTTTAATATATTAACACGAAATTTGTTTTATTTTATATTATGTGTACCTAATGAATATGTAGTCACCTATTTCCTCGGCGAATTTCTTAAATGGCAATAGTAAGCACTCCACTAGCGACTCTGTAAACTGAACAGATAAGTTGGTGGCACTATACAGAAAGAAACATTAGCCTTTACAATTTTCGAACAAATTAACTTCCCGACAATAGAGTGTAGTAAAGAGTACCAACTCCTATAGGAGAATAGTTGAAAAAGTGTCCATCTGTAAGCAGTAAATAACAGTTCGAAAACTCTCCACTACAGACCTCGAGTAGCTACGGGGTATGTTAAATCTCCGTAAAATACGTTGAGAGTGATTTTAAAAATAAAAATTTTGAAAGCCATAAAATAAATATTGTAAAAAGAATTATGGTGAAAGTCTGCAATAACAAAAATTATAAAAAGTTCTTTAAAATTTAGACTGTAGCTACAGTGGCGTCACACTTATTTAACGCTTTCCTACGGACACTTTTTTATACGGAGTCTGTACTCCTTACCTCTACACTCCATATTCCCGACTATGAAATCCATGAAGGTACGGAGTGTAGAAGTAAGGAGTACAGACTGTGTATTAAAAAGTGTACATAAAAACCTTTAAATAAGGTGGCGCCACTATATAGCTACGGGGTAAATTTTAAAGAACGCACCGAAAAATATTAGTGGGATAGACGACTTTTTCGAGATTATATTTACGAAATAAAATTATTTTAGATTTTAGAGCTACTGAGCAGTTTAGCAGCACACTTCAAACCGTCGAAACTGCTAATTTCATTTCATCACAGTAGCTACGCCAGCGCTGTTGTGGAGAGTTTTTGAACTATTATTTACTGTTTACAGATGACCACTTTTTCAAGTCTTCATGTATGGAGTGTAAAAGTAAGGAGTTGGTACTCCTTACTTTTACACTCCATACATGAAGATTTGATGAAATGTGTCAAATATTACACCTCATTTTAAATGGCGCCGCCCTGGTGGCACAAAAAGTCCCCACAATGCGTTATCCTCCGCAAAGGGAGTAGGGAGAAACAGTATCCACTTCATTTTAGTCTTCAAAAAATCTTATGGCCTACACCTCTATCAGAAACCTTTTTCAAACTTTATTAATTATTAACAGGTTTAACAAAGTTTAAGCGCCTCTTATTGATAGCTCAATGTAACTTATTTTCCGTGTATATTACTATAGTCTTTGAACTTATTAAGCGCGTCACTTTGTGAGACACACTCAACGATATCGAAGTCCTAGAATCAAGAGTTAGTTCAAGGAAACATTGATAGATAGCGGTATTAACTATTGGGATCAGGTTTCTTAAAAAAATGATTTGTAAGCTCATGTTTAAGGGTTTGGTGGTAATTTTAGTTCAAATATTAAGTTTAACCAGGAGGGGTGAAACTTCAATACAAACCTAACACTGAAATTTTGTTTGACGCCTGAGCGCAATCTTTAGAACGCCGTCATGCTTAACTTAAGTGAACGTTTTATGCAAAATTCTACTAGATGGCGGTGTTAAAAGGGTTGGGTGGCCATATAAAGAACGTGGTAGAGTTGGAAGAATTATATTAATTGTGTTTGGTTTTGGTTTTCAATTATTGCAAACTGTACAATAAAAGTATAAATAAAAATATAATGAACTAAAAAAACTACTTCTCAAATGTTATTAAAGCCTTTTTGGTAGTGATTTTTTAAATGTTTTCAAATGTTACAAAGTAATTAAGTAATTTGTAATTCTGGTTATGGCAACTTTTGACATTGCAGGCCGCCATAAAAGTTTTGAATTTTTTCCGACTTTCTACTTTCTGCTTAGATATTTTGGTGTATTTTACTTAATGTACTTTTTTTAATGACTTGGTATTACTTACGGACTCTGGGTTTTTCTACTGTATCTATAAATTCGGCACCCAAAACGGACTTTAGATTTTCTTCTACTACGCACGATATTGGCATTCCATATTCATTACGGATCCTTTAATTTATACGACTGTTTCTAGTTTCTACATTGGAATACGCAACGCCTACGAAATTGTGATTTTGCCTGTAAGCTAGATGGTAAGAATTTGCGTAAATGAATAGATAAAAATAGGAACATAACAAACTCATATTATTTTTATTTTCAGTACCTATGCATCGTTTTCCAAAACCTGGCTATTATAAAGAAGCTAGATTTAATATGTGGTTAGCAGTATTGTCTGAGGAAACGAAACTCAGAGGAACTTCATATATTAAGAAATATCTACATATGTTACAGGCATTTTGAACAAGTTTCGCACTGTTGGAAGAGGGCTTACTGCTAACATTTATCCCACTTTAAAATT